GGACTCTAGTTTCGACCCCGCTTAGGTTTTGTCAGCACCCCCAGCAGGAATAGAACCCGGATATTGCAGCGTATATTCCTGGCACGATACTACTGCGCCACGCTGGCACTAGCATCCCTAGGTGACAGGGTACATTTGAAATTCACTGAATGCCAGACCCCTCACATTTCACATTTATAGTATCAGCGTAGATGAGGCCTAGAAGAGGTCTTATTTTTCTTGAAATTCACTTCTTTTCTGTGACCTAGTGGCACTTGTGTCGATAACGTATGAAGAAAAGGTGTTGTTCTACCTGAATTCAATTTTCGATGGGGATGCTAATGAGACCTAGCCGAAGTCAAAACTGCATTTGATCACGGACATGAATGTCTTTCAAGAGGCAACGCTAAGTGAAATTCAACGGAAACGTAAGGCCTACTCATATAATCAGAGAAAAGTCAACCATCCATTTTTCACCGCCTTATGAAACTTGAGGTGAATGGAACTCTTAAAATGGTTTAGTTCATTTATTCACTTTTCCTGTCGGGATTTACAGGATTATATCTTCATGATTGTTAAGCAGGCTACATAGTAATTATTATCTATAAAGTTACCAAATTCAATTATTTTGATTCATTAATTTACATTTGAAATGTGTATTAGATTGCCTCGACTTTTCTCTACCTGCATTCATTTAAGCCTAATTTTATGCATACTATGATAAGTATAGAAGTTGCTTGATCTTGGTTTTAAAATTTGTTCCTATTGGCAGAAAGACCTAGAGGAACGTATCTTTTTCGGAGTCCATAGTATGCATGATCATTTTCAGTCGGATCGTAGAGTTGGTACGTTCCCAGACCTTTCACCGGCATCTTAGTCGGCATTATCAATGAGTCTTGCTATTTTCAGCAACCAAGTTACAACTCGTCAAAGAGACAAATGAAGACAATCCCTTGATCAACAACTTTCTGTCTAGACGGTTATGCTATCACTCCTTGTTTTGTCCTGGTCCATATATCCATTTCCTACCTAGTTTCACCCTCATCCTATCAACTTTTGCTATGTTTATATTCCACGAGAGGTGTGCCCTTTTGGCGAATTTACCGTGGCGTCATCACACCTTGCTTCCTTCCCTTTCGACTGGCTGATCCTGTTCTAATGTCCTGTCTGAATCTGCCTCATGGGCCCGTAGGTCCGTTTCTTACCTTTTTGGTTGACCGATTTCACTTGGCTCAATCCCCAGCGTACTTTTACTCCAAGTGCTGTTTCTCAAGCCGTAGCAGGTACAAAGTCGCCTTATCTTCAGAGCGTCTTGGCTTTGATTCCCATGCCTGCGGAGATTAGACATTACATTCCCGAATCATCTCGATTAAGTCCGTGTATCCTGAGCAAACTGTCTATATCTCTCTGATCGCATTCTGCTTCTCAAGTGTATTATTAGCCCATTTGGTCACAATGCCCTATTTCTGCAACTCAATCTCTCTCCTTAGTCACGTGAAACGTCGTGCTCCCAAGTTATAGTTGTCTATTCGAGCTGACTATTCTCACCAAAAACGTCTTCGCTTCATTTCTGAAACCTCACTCTCTTCTTCCTTGCAACCCCTTTTCCTCTGGTTTACGACACATCCCACGTCCAGGCGTCTCCTTTTTGCTTGTCTTGTTGCATCTATATTTTATAGTTTGATTAGGCAGTAGGCAAGGTTATCACTGATTCTGTCTTCTTCCAATCTTCTATTCATTAAAATTTTCCTCCAAGGATGCCATTGCCCTCCCTAATCTTCCGTTTCATTGTGCTTTCACTGTATGATGCCCTTCTTTTTGTTGTCTTCCAATTAATCTCGTGTCCAGTCCCTGCGATGTATTCCGCTACATCTGATATTTCACTAGCCATTTTCCTGCAGAGCCTTTGATTTTCCTTAATTCCTATGACGATTTTTCTCCCAGTTTCGCCAATGTATTTCTGTTTGCAGACATTGTATACTATGTAATAAACTCCTGAGCAATCTAATTTATCTACCCTCTAATGCTGTATAGCATCCGGCCTCTGTGAAAAGCAATACATTGGCTAACCTGGGAGAAAAATCGGCATACGAATGAAGGAACATCAAAGGCTCTGCAAAAAATGGATACTTTTTGACAAAATTGGCAATTTTAGGCCATTAAAGTAGGTTCCGGAATGGCCAACCTTTTTCTATCAGTCAAATTGTTATAGGTATTCCGCCATTTATTCTCGAGTACTTGGTCTTAATGACTTTTATACATTTTGACCTGAAATGTTCTTAATTAGGCTCTAAACCACTGTTTTGGCGATTGGATTAAAATTGCTGTTTTTTGCTTAATAATTAAACAAATATTGGGATTTTTCGTATGTAAGTAGAGTTTCGAGACTAATATATTATATACGAAGAATAAGTTATATAAATAATATAATAAGTGATATATATATATATGATAAGTGATATAGTCGATTGTTATAGCAAAAATACGTTTGATTCATCGACAATCCCACCAAAGAATGTGATATGGGGAAAGGCCTGGCCTTCCTTGAAATTAGCATCTGCCCTGTGAATTTTAGCTGTCTTATCTATCGAACAAAATCATTTTCTTGTTATTTTTTCGAATTGATTTTGAAATAAAGAAATGACTCTTCTCCTGTACACTACATTAATTTATGTTTAAATCCATACCTTTGCCTTCCTTTACACTAAGTGATTCAATAATATACTGAAAATATGGACGAAGGTGAATAATATGGTTTATTCTGTATTTTTACAACCTAAGAACTTACTATTAATATAGGACGGCCTCGCGTTACTGACATTATTGGGTTTTTTACTCATAAATTGTTTACCTTAGACATTATAATCTGTCCTTAATCGAAAGTATGAACACTACGAATGCATGACCTCTATTTTGGTGTTAGTCTTTTGCTATACTGAAGCGATTTGACCTCGTTCGTGTAATCAGAGTGATCTCGACCAACACATCTTGTCCAGAGTCTTCTGTCATAATTTTCACAATAATTTCAAGCATCTAGCTGTGGATTTAGTACATTCTCAACTCCAAAAGGGTTTATTTCTTACCCTATAATATTGTGACTTATTTAACGAAACCGAGCTCCTAATGGCTTTTGCCGACTAGCTTCTTGTTAATTAAATTAGGTAAAGGGATAACGAAAATTTGCACACACGGTCTATTAATCCGCATGATTTTTGCGTCTTGATCTTTTCCCTACTAAAATGATAATCTCTATCATTTCTAGTTATGCTCCTCTCAGCCAGGCTTTATTCGCCTGGCCATGTGGGACCCTGTGCCCGAGCGCCGTTTCATGCGGCACGCCTGGGCCACATACCAGCCTGATGTGAACATCAAAAAAATTTGCTGGGCCCTCAATACCTCACAGGCCTTGCGCGATCGTCTTTCAAGCTCAATGCCTGGTGGTGGCAATGGTGATTTAGGCGCCACGGTAAATCGAGATCTGGCACAGCGCGTGCGGCCTCTAACTCCATTAACTCGGCATAAGCCAGTCATGCGACAGGATCTCGTCCTAGCTGCTCGGCTTGTTTTAATGCTTGACGCTCGTCTTGGTCTCTGGCAAGGTAGTCAGACATCCCAGCAGATCTGTGTTCCTGGCCTCAAGGAACCAGCGATCTCGGCGAATCCTCTTTTGGACGGCATCACTGACCATCTTGTTGACGAAGGGGGAGCTGAAGAAGAAGCATTGATTTGTAGGTCTAGCTTTCACTTTCACATGCTTCGTAATGTTGATGTTGAGTTTCTGTGTCATACCGCTTCATTTTAACTAAGGTCATTTATCAGCATTCTTCGATCTTATCCTTATATTGTTTTATGCATTATCTGAACGTTTTCACAGGTACTGACCTTTATATGACTTACAATGTCTTTTTTATTAAGATTTTATGATGTTGCTCCTAAATGTCATAAGCCTATAAAGTCTGACAAATCTCAAACCGTAGCCGCATCATAAAAGAGTTATTTCCTGATTATCAATTTAAGTGACACGTGGCAACTTCGATTCTAGATCAAGAATGCATGCATTCGAGCCTTTTCTCAACTGTATTTTTAAAAAATGCGGCTCCTTAGACAATTCTCAAATTAATTCCCAAATCGACATCCTGTCTAGAATTAGGAATTTCGTAATGAGACATCTTGAGTTAAGAATGAATATACTTATGATTTTCATAGCTAGACCGCTTCTCCAAGACTTTTTATCGAAACAGTGGCCTGAATGTTAATCAACAGTCAAAATTTCTATGGTCTCACCATTAATCTACCATTTTGCCTTATTTTTCCATATCCATTTTGACGCTTATTAAATCGCTTTGCTTCGTCCATCTGGATTTCAAGCTATAATTATCGCTGGGAAAATTTATTTTGTCTATTTTTAAATCCCTGTTTATATCTATTATTGATATCCGTCATTTTATCTATCTTTCACACTCATTCTCAATCAGCCGAGTCAGTCACATCTCATGCGCCCGATGGCAGTGAAGCTGTAGACTCCGTCGACGGATCTAATCATGCACCTACTGGCTCAAAACCGGTCGGAATTCCTTCCACTGTTGTTCTTGAATCCGACCCTGACCTAGCTCGTGCACTCGATCGGCTTATTATTTATCTTCGTATTGTTCATTCTGTTGATTTTTATTCGGCTTCAGTCTACCCAATGGAAGATGCTATGCCTCATCGTTGTGGAATTCTACATGCTCGCGGGGATCGTGGCCTTAATCCACCTGGGACTGCAAGCGGAGTTGGTTCTGTTAATTCTGGATCTGTAGGAGCCGCCAGTGCGGCGATCAGTGGAAAACAAATGGGTGGCCTTGTGTTTACCACAAGAGAAGTTGACGAGTACATGAAGGTAAACTCGACACTTGGATACCATTGCGACAGTATTAGTATTTTACTGCACCATAATTTCATTAATTTATTCGATAAAGCATGCTTTTCTTGGTAAAGCTCGCTTGTGTTGGCATAATGGTTGCTTAACTACTCTTTACATTAATCATTGATCTTACCAGTTAATAAATGAAATATTATTTGATTTATTTATATATCCTTGCTTTTTTTAACAAATTTTTTGATTACCTTCTTTTCAATCAGAATTTTGCTGCCAAAATGTCTGTCTTACTAGATGTCCCGCCAGACCTCAGTGAAGAAGAAATGGTTGAATTGGGTAAACGTGATCCCGAAAGAGCTGCTGAGGAGTTCATTGAAGCCAATATTCTGAAACGGACTAGCAAAAAAAAGCCGTTAGTTTATTTTTTAGCTTGTCATGCGTATTTCTCTTGTCAAACCACTTTTGTGCCCATGACCAACTGTGTTAAATTGTCATCAAGTCCCATAATTCATTACGGTGATAACACAGGGAAGCGGAAGATTAGGGAGGCCCTTGACATTCTTGGGGAGATAAATCTAATGAACAAGAGATTGGAGGAAGGTAGAGTTAGTGATAACTTTGCCTACTGCCTAAGCAAAATCGAGGAAAACGATAAAGCAAGACCAGCAAAAAGGAGATGCCTTGATAAAGGATCTGCCGCTAACCAGGGGAAAAGGGATTGCGATGACGAAAGGGGGGGTCAGGGGTATTCGGCAATAAAGCAAAGACGTTGTCAGTGAGTGATGGCCATTTTAAATAAGCCAATACAACTTTGTGGGTCTGGCAGTCAGGGAACTGGGCAGACGGATAAGCACACCGTCTTAAAAATTAGTGGTATTGGCCAAAATGCCCTAGAAATCTACATGCGACCAGATATAGGCGTCCACAGTTTGCTAAGATAACATGGGTTTAATCAAGAAGACGACCAATGTAGGGAAGGCCTGATATCTGCAAGCATGGGAATCA